CAAAATTCAGCCAAATAAATTTGCAGATCTAATTGGCTTTATTAAATGGCTCATGAATCAGGCAAGTAGAAGGGGGCTTCAAGGGAAGTACAAAAAAGGAAAGTTTTGGTTTTTTTTTTAAAGATTTTATTTATTTTTTAGAGAGAGGAGAAGGGAGGGAGAAAGAGGGAGCAAAACATTGATTGGTTGCTTCTTGCATGCCCCTAACTGGGGACCTGGTCCACAACCCAGGCATGTGCCCTGACTGGGAATCACACCTGCAACCTTTCAGTTCACAGGCTGGTGCCCACCCCCCTGAGCCACACCAGCCAGGACAAAAGGAAGGTTTTTATAGGAAGGTGAAGCAAGAGAGTTATTAGCAAAAGAAAAGAGAGGATTATTTTTAGGCCAGGACACCTTTGGGGTGGGAGAAAATGGCAAGGGTTTTATTGTGCAGTTTGCCTCTTCTTCCTTTGGTGGTGGTGGTCAAACAGGGTGCAGAGTGGGGTGGGGGGGCCCCTGAAAATATTCCCCACAGCCATGGTTGCAGGGGGTGGGGTTGATATGGAGGTTAGGATACTTTTCATAACAATGGCAAGTGGATAACTACAAGGAGGCTGAGGACAGCATACTGCAGATCGTGATGGAGACAGCTGCGAAAGGATGGTGACTCCAACCCCACAAGTGTACTTTCCAGAGAGGACAGAGAACTGTTTGTGTAGCCAGCTTAAAAACAGATAAGGATATGGGAAACTTCTGGGCATGCTTTTGGCTTATAGCCTGGTGGGGAGGAGCAATGGAAGTGCTGGGTCTCGTGGGAGAAAAAGGGCTCCAAGCAGGAGTGCTCTCAGTCCCCACAGAGGTTGGAACCCGTAAATAAAAACCTGTTTCCTACCCTGGCTGTTGTGTCTCAATGGACTGGGTGCTGGACTGAGTGCCAGCCTGAAAAACAAAGGTTGCCAGTTCAATTTCCCAGTCAGGGAACTGCCTGGGTTGGAGACCAGGGCCTCAGTTTGGGGCGCGTGAGAGGCAACTGATCAATGTTTCTCTTCCTCTCTAAAAATAAATAAATAAAAATCTTAAAAAAAAAAAGAAAAGAAAAGAAAAGAAAAAGAAAACCCCCAACAAAAAACCTGTTTCCCTCTGCATTAATTGCTGGCTCCAGTTTGCTTGGTTCAGTGGGGGGCGGGGGGCGGGGAAGGGACGGGTGGTGATGATAACGGACTAGGCCCACATGACAGGTCACCTTACCAGTGCTCGACCAGAAACCTCCAGACTGACTGATTTACACTTCTGGTAAAGATTTAAAACTGCGGTAAGGTCGGGTACTAAATGTAGGTTCCATATCGTGGGCTTTACCACAGTGATGCCAAATTGGGGCTGCGGTTTTCTTTTTAAGGAAAAGAATAACACTTTCTCTATTTGCAGAGAACATATTGTTTTAGTCCATTGGGGAACAGGACTGGGTAGCTTATACAACACTTACTTCTTAGTTCTGGAGGCTGGAAGTCTGAAAGCAGAGCATCAGTATGGTCTGGGGAGGGCTCTTCCAGGTTGTAAGACTTTTCCTTGTATCCTCACATGGTGGAAAGGGCTCTGAGGTCCGTGGGATCTCTTTTTATGAGAGCACTATCCTCAATTCTTATATCTATATTCATAGGTGAGGTGTCCTATGATCCCTCATACACCTTTTTGGCACTATCTATGAGATTTTTGGGTATTAAAACTATGCAGAAATTATAAAGTAAACTGAAGTTGTTTTTATCTTTTCCGAGGGCCTAGACTAATTTTGTGGAAGAAAAGAGGTCATATCAAGGGAGGCCTGTGAGGCAGCCTTACAAACTCTTTAAGACCTAAAGCAACCACAAAGGATGGTCTGAAATCAAAACTTATTAACTATAAACAGCTCATGGTGGGTAGTCATGTCCTAGGCCAGTAATTTTCCCTAACAAAGGTCAATCTTTACCTGTGTATTGTCTTTTTGCATCTATGACAACATACCTTTGGAATGTCAAGGTAACTTCTCCTTTACCTAAACACTTTGGACATGAGACCACAAATCCCCTCATTGCTATTGTTAATTGTTGACTGTTCACTAGCTTTTTCCCACCGAAGTAAATGAAGTGTCTATCATTTTATCTTTTATCTAATCATCTAATCCCAGAGCTTCCCCTCTGCTTTCTCCTGTCCTCCCAATCTGTCGCCAATGGACTTCTTGTCAACTCCTGCAGGGCTCCTCTGTTGATTCTAATATATAAAACAAGGGGCTAAGCCACCATTTTCTGGAGCATTTCTCAATCCCTTGAGGTACTGCTTCCTGGCATTGTTATCAGTTTGGCTCAAATAAACTCACCAAAAATTCTCTACAAGTTTGAATGTTTCTTAAGTTGACAATTTAAATAACACAGGTATCATGTTTGAAAACAGTAACAAGTGGTGTTTATTGAGGGTTTTATTACCTGTGAACACATTATATATATTGACTCATGTATGTAATAATTCAGTTGTGAATCCGTCTTGTCATGGTGCTTTTTCAACAGATCTTTACCTAACTTTCTCATTAATTTTTTGTTAATCTCTTCAAGTTGTCCATTTTAGGGAAAGAATAAATTTTGTATTTTGATAGAAAACCTTTCACGTGCTGGTTTCAAGTTTGTTTATACAATGGTGCATGTGGATTCTCATTATGCTTTTAAACTCAAACGTCTCCTTCTTCCTTCCTGATCTCAATTAAATTGCTCTACATGTGTTTCCTTAACTAAGCAATTTTCAGCCTTTTTCATCTCATGGCACACATAAACTAATTACTAAAAGTCTGCAGCACACCAAAAAATATATTTTATTTTTTGTCAGTCTGACAAAAAACAAAAATAGGTGTAATTTTTATTTATTCATACCAGATGACTACTGTTGTGTTGGCTGTTGCCTTTTTTTTATTTGACAATGTAAGGAAAAAGAGACCTGTGCCTTTGACTGAATAGTCAGGCGTTGTATGTTTTTAAAATTCATGCGGCACAGTGGTTGTTAGTCACTGCCTTAAACTAGATATAAGAGGAGTTCATCTATGTTCCGATCTTTACAAAGACCAAGTTTATGGATTTATTTGTCCTTTTTGGTTTTGTTTTCTATTTCCTTAGTTTAATGTTTACCTTTGCATTTCATTTTTCCAACTTTCTTTTGGTTTGTTATTTTTCTAATTCCTTTAAGATGTGAACTAAGTTCCTGGACTAGTCACAAAATTTTTACCATTTATACCTAAATCTTTCCTTTAAACTCAGCTTTGTGGTATTACCAGTAAAATGGGACACATGAACTCTAAATGGATCCTGGATCAGAATCAACCAGTTAATTAAAATAAATATACTATATATTTTTTTTAATTGGGGAAATTTTATATGGCAACATATTAGGTTACATTATTTGAATTATTGTTTATTTTCATATGAGTGATGATGGTATTGTGGCTACATAGGGGACTGCCCTTATTTGTAGAAAGTGCATATTGAATTGTTTGGGCATGAAATGTTATGACATTACAACTTATTTTTAAATGTTTTATAGGCTGAACTGTTTCTCTCCACTGCAAAATTCGTATCTTGAAGCTCAGTGTGACTGTTTTGAAGACATAGGCTTTGCAGAGGTAATTAAAATGAGGTCATTCTGGTGGGCCCTAATTCAACATGACTGGTATCCTTTTAAGAGACTGGGGCATGAGAAGAGATACCAGGGATGCACAAACACAGAGGGTCAACCATGTGAAGAGGCAGTAAGAAATGACGAACTGCAAGTCAAGAAGAGAGGCCTCAGTAGAGAGCATCTCTGCCAGTACCTTGATCTTGAATTTCCCACCTCCACAACTGTGAGAAAGTAAATTTCCGTTGTTTAAGCCAGTTGGTTTAAACATGGTATTTTGCTATGGCAGTCCTATCAAATTAATATAAATGGCTCTAAGGGGAAGAAGGATAAATATAAAAAGAGAAAGCAAAAATGGAAAATGTTAATGTTGCTGAATCTAGGTGGAGGATAAATGGATGTTCATTATATCATCCTTTCAACTTTCATGTAAGTTGGAAGTTTTCCCAAAACAAAAAGTTTGGGTGGGAAATTTTACCAGGAAATTTATGTGTGTGTTTGTTTATATTTATACATATAATTAGTTTGCGAGGGTTGCCACAGACTGACCTAAACAACAGAAACTATTTCTCACAGATCTGGAGGTGAGAAGTTACAACATGAAATGAAATTTCCCTTTTTTGGTGATACTTGCCTTATAGCATTCTATTAGAGATTAAAAACACACCCCTCAAGATTTCAGGTTACCTATGCACTACTTATTTATGCTACTACTGCTGGTAGTCTCTTTTTATTTGTGCTACTACCTTTGCCAAGAGACATACAAGTCAGTCTTTGACAACTACCGAAAAAGAATCATTTTAGTCAAAAACCATCAACAGATGTTAAATCAGAACTAGCAGAGCAGAAGAATCTAGAAAAAAAAATTAACATGTTGCTCCTTGATTAGTAAACATTCCAAAACTTTAGGGACTGTACCTCACAACTGTCAAATTATATGTACCTATATAAAATAAACCACCTTATTATCATACCGTTTAAGTGAGGCTACTATCACGTAACATTAATAGGTATATAAAAGAATTCGGTGAAATAAAGTGTTCTAAGCTTCTAACATAATGATTGATAGAGTAAGAACTTCATAAATAGTGGGTATCACTAGTATTATATTCAAATTTCAAATAAGAAATGTGATTCTGCTTCAAGTTGGCACTGCTGTTGTCCTACATGAGTTACAATTTAAGAAAATCACTTAATCCTGAGAGCAATAAACTTCACCCTTACATATACCGAACAAACCCATCAGTACAAGTAACAGAACCAATTCTTATCCACTGTTGAATTATTTTATATAAATACACAGAAAAACAATCATATTCTTGAGGTAACAAATCACCAAATGAATAGGAAAAAATTTTTGAAATGAGAATGAAAAAGTTTTAACTTACTGACTGACTAAATCAGATGCCACCTTAGAGCCATTGTCTGCCTCCTCTTCCATATCCGAGTCCACAGCACTGTCACCTTATAAACGAAATAAACTATTGAAAGCATGCTTATAAAATGTCAAGAGTGATTTAATTTTAATCATTACACAAAAAGTGTCATCTTTAAAGATGATGCAGATTAAAGAACTTTATAGGTAACTAAGAACAATGAGACTATAAGGCAGAATATAAAAAATTATTTAGGAGAAGTCTTTGCTTTCTCAAAAATTAACTTTATAGTATTTGGTTAAACATTTTTTTAATTTCATTTTATTATTGTATACAAACATGCTCTTACATATACCCTTGAGATAGAAAAACCATAAATACATCAAAAAGTCCATTCTTAAAATGCTATTCTGATATCTAAACTGTACTTCTCTGTAGAAATAGAGGCAAAAATACTTTTCAATGATTACTCAATAATGAAATTAGTGTAATATTCAAGTAAGGAAAAAAACCTCAAAATTTATTCTGAATATAATATTAACTAAAAGGTTTTCAGAATGTAGAACTATATACACTTACCCTCAAGAATCTTCAAGATTTTTTTTTCAGACAGGAGCTCTAACTGTTCTTGGCATAGTTTTTTAATTTCTTCTATTGAACAATTCTAAAGAAAATGACATTTTAAAAAGTACATTTATGAAATACAATGTTAATGTAAACTGGAAAAAAGAAATCACAGAAAAAGTCCAGTTAGCAAAATCTTACAATAAAACAAATTAAAAGCCACATAGATCCTTTGATGGGATGAGATCTAATAAATTGCCAGCTAGCATGTGAACATCATAAGACTTGATGAGAATTTATAGTCATGTTTATCATGAAACAAACTTATATAAGAGTATGTCAGCATCCCAGATATTCTTAATAGCATCCTATTTATATTAGGTAATTCCTCTAAAGGTTTAAATACTTGAGTTCTGGTTCTATAGATCTTAGATCTATGATTTTGGGCCTAATTTGTCTAATATTAGTATTTCCCCGAGTAATTTTCAGAAATATATGAAAACATTTGTAAATTTAATGACATATAATCTACTACCAAACATCATTGTATATTGTTACACAGCAGTATATTATTTCTCAAAACAGCAGAAAGAATCATTATACCTCTAATTTAATTATTAACACTGCCTGCATTTAACAGAATAATTTCTAGAAAGTCCATAAATTCCCTACCTAAGCACAGTAAATTTCCATTTTTTTCTTGGCAATTTTCTATGTATACAAAGCCATTTATGGTTCTCCAAAATCCCTTAGGTTGTTTTAGTTAAAAACATCCAATTATAATTTGCATTAAGCAAATTTGCTACAAAAAAGGTTTTTGTGTATTTCTATATATGTGTATAATCTGGTAATATATGTAATGAAGTACCTTTAACACATCTGGAAGCATTTTCTGTAACTTCTTCTCTCCTATGATACAGAAACACTGCTGAAGCATTTCTTTTTTGTCGGATATATAGAAACTAACTGGTTTTAATGACACAGTCAGGTCCATTCCACCTTCTTCAAGGTCACTGTTCTCTGCCAAGAATAATTCTTTCTCCAAAGCTGGTAAAAGATATTTGGTTTCCTAAAATTAAAGGAGAGAAAGAACCATTAAATAATACTACTTAAAGCATATGGAATATGTACATAATGTCATACATTTTAATTTAATAAATTCTTCATTAAATATTTACAAATTCTTCGTTTACACAGATTATCTAAAACTATAGGAAAGAATATTTAATTGTTCAGTATTCTTTGAATTTACTCTCCACACTACAATTAGCTCATTAAATTTACATAAAGTGAAGAGATCTCTCAGGACATACAAATGAAAATAAAATCATTACTGAAGTTTTGTGTATATATTGCCATTATTCTTAAGTTCATAGAAAAACTGGGATAGTAGCAAAAATATTACAAATCACAAATATTATACATTAATGTATCACTTCTTACCTGGAGTTATTATCACTTTTAAAACTGTTATTTTATCATAGTCAAAGCAGCCAAGTAATTTAAGACATTTATGTCAACTTTACCGCCTATCTCCCAAATCTATCCAGTCTCTCCAAATCTATTGCCATAATCCTAGTCCAAGGTACCATTACCTTTTTTGCCTACTTTACCTTAATAGCTACTTGTCTGTACTTCCTGAATCTAATCTGAAGTTTCTCCAATCTGCTTTGTATACTGTTATCAGAATGGACTTTATAAAATGTACATAATACTCATCTTTCCTATTTATAACCTTTGAATGATTTCCTTTTAGGGAAATATGGTCTACCTGGCCCTTCATGCTCATTCTGTGTATTTCGAATACAACGATCCTCTTTGAGTTACTCAAATATTCAATATAACCCGTTCTCCCTTCGCCTCACATAGGCAGGACTTTTGTACATACTGTTCTTCTGCCTAAAACAGTCCCCCCATCTATTTCCCATACCACACACACTATTCTCCAAAGACTAACAAATTCAGATATTAATTCAAAGTCATTTTCTCTAAAAAATATTAACTATATAGTTTAGGTGGATACCCTTCTTATATTTTCAAATGAAATTTTTAAAAAAGCAGTTTTTTTAAAAAAACAATTTTAAAGGAAACTATCATTAGACTGAATAAGGAGGTCAATCCTTATTCTAATGGGTGGCGAAGTAATTCAAACAGTAACAATGTAGAGAAACTAGAAATCTCATACACTGCTAGCAGGAATATGAAATGGTGTAGCCACTTTGGAAAACAGTTTGGCAGTTTTTTGCGAAGTTACTGCAAGACCTAGCAATCCATTCCTCGATATATACCGAAGTTAAATGTAACCTAACACCTGCATAAAAACTTGTACACAAATGTTCATGGCACCATTATTCATAAAAGCCAAAAAGTGGAAGTAGTCCAAATGTCCCATCAAGTGACAAATGGAAAACCAAATGTGGTATTATTATTCAGCCATAAAAAGGAGGTACTGATATGTGTTACGACATGGATAAACTTTGAACAAACATGTTAAATGAAAGAAGCCAGTCACAAAAGACCATATACCATATGAATCTATCATATAAAATGTCCTGAATAGGGGAATCAATAAATCTGTAGAGACAGGAAGTAGATTAGTGGTTGCCTAGGGAGGGAACAAGATGAGGGTGTGTGTTAGGAGTGATAGTTAAAAAGTACACATAGGGAATTTTTTTTTTTTTTGGTGGGGGGAATGATACAAACATTTTCAAATTGACTATAGTGATGGCTGGACAACTCTGAATACACTCAAAACAAATGAACTGTATACTTGGAATGGGTGAATTGTATGGGATGTAAATATTTCTATAATGCTGTTATAAATAAATAGATAGATAGGAACTCAACATACAACAAATATAATGGAACTCTTGGGGTTCTGAGATGTTATCTATAAGCCTAGCATGTAATTTCTATTCTCTTCTTCACAAATACATTTACTTTTCATTAAAAATAGGATTTAGGCACTGGTCAGGGTGGCTAGGCTGGTTGGAGTATCGTCCTGTAAACAGAGTAGGTAAGTGGGTTTGATTCCTGGTCAGGCACACGCCTCGGTAGTGTTTCTTTTTCTCTCTCCCTCCCTCCCTTCCTCTTTTCTAAAATCAATTAGCATGTCCTTTGGTGAGGGGAAAAAAAAGAAAATAGGGTGTAGTTCTGTATGCAAATGTTTATAACTTAGCATTCCTGATCTAAGCCTCATAATACTGAGTACTAAAGATACAGAGACTATTTAAAATAAGAATGGTGATATCCAAAATTGAATCTAGACAGGGCAGGAAGCTCAACAGATCTATAACTATGAAAGAACTAGGAAAAACGGAGTTATGAGAAACAAAGAAACAAACTACCAGACCCAGACAGTTGTATGCTATATGGTTCAATAGTCAAGTTCAGACAAATCTTGGGGAAAAAGATATAAACCTTTGTAGAATACACAAATACATACACACAAAAGCAAAGGTACCTAACTCAATCCACAAGGCTGGCAGAATCCAGACACCAAAACTAGAGAAGATAACTACAACAATAAAAGCCAAAGGCTGCTTTACTAGGAACAGAGATTGAATTAAAAGTAAAAATACTGATTTCCAGCCTAGCTACAACCATACCAATAAACCAAATATGGTCTATCTCAAGACTGCAAAAGCAGTTCAATATTAGTTCATGTATCAATAAAATTACATTACCTTATTACTGGAGAAAAACAATGTGATCATCTCAACCGAGTGCCATAAAAGCATCTGATAAAACTCCTCATCAAACTGGGAATTGAAAAAAATTTCCTTAACCTTATCAAAGGTATCTTTCAAAACTTCCGGCAAATAAACTCTGGTAGAACATTACAAATGTTCCAATTGAAAAAAAAGATTGGGTAAAGAATGTCTGCTATCACTGCTTTTGTTGAACACTACACAATGCCAAAAAACAAGAAATGAGAAATACAGAGGTGGGCAAAAGTAGTTTTAAAGTTGTGAGTCTGTGAAACATAGCTTATTCTTGTATTACTAATTATTGTATTACTTGTATTACAAATGTAAACCTACTTTTGTCGCCCCTGTACAGTGCTGAAAAAGAGACAAAATTGTCACCGTTAGAAGAATTTCTTCTATGAGTCAACTTTAAACTAATAGTGTGGCTATATACAAGAAAATACATAAAAATAAATGGCCTTCTATGCTTCCACAACTCCCAATTTAAAAATATAATGCTAAAATATACAGAATAGTTTTATAATTTTGGATTAGAAAAGACTTTTCTAAAAAACACACAATCCAAAAATCATAGGATAATGAGTCTTGACCACAACAAAATCAAAATCTTCAGTACACTGTGGCCAAAATTTTAGGAACATTTGCAATATACCTTACACAAAGCATTAGAACCAAGTCCTTATGTAGAAAGATTCGTAACCTATCAGTAAAAGGTTGAAAACAAAAAAAACCAAAAATCTCTAAGGGTAGGTATATCCAATTTATTGACAAATAAATGGACAAGTAAAAATATCAAAATGCTAAACTTATGATTAATCAGAAAAATATAATAAATTAAAACAAATGCAACATTAGTGGGATTTCACCCACTAAGGTAACAAAATTTTAAAAACCGGAGGTGGTGAAAATTTGCAGAGATACATATTCTTATATATTTTCTGGTTTATAAATCAGTTACACCTTTTTGGGAACCATTTGGTAGTACCGGTCAATTTTATTTTTTTAAATACATAAACATTGACCCACTAATTTCATTTCTGAGACTCCAACCTAAAGTAAAAGTAATTCTTGCACAAGACATGTACAAAGGTGTTCACTTTTGTATCATCTGCAACAGAAAGAAAACTGGACTCCTAAATATTCATCAATAAAGATACAATGAAATATTGTGCAGTCATTATAAAATAAAGCATTGCATGTATAAAAAAACCTCATCCCAACAATGCAGCCAGATTATCCAACTGAATGGGGGCATTGTCACAAGAAGGCTTATGTGTACAAACTTAAATACACATATCTGATAAGAATTAAGGAAGAGACTACATATCAATTAATGGGGAGAGAGGCTTAAAAAGAGACTGCCACCCTTTTCCCTTTATTTCTGTGTTATAACACCTTAAGTGTGTATTTATTCATGTTTTATAATACTTTACAGCAAACTTTTTTTTTTTTAAACAGCGGTATCTGGCAGGTGATGGGACATAAAGAACATGTCTTTTATATAGCCAAATATAGGATACAAATCTATGCGTTGTAATAAACCGTGACTGTGGGTAAACTTCCATAAACTCTTAGAGCCTCAGTTTTCTCACCTTGTAATGTGGAGTTAACCATAACCTGTTAAAGAGAATAAAGCGTGGTTTGCAAGTGCATTAAAGGCTGGCCCCTACTCATACTTTTTTAGGGAGACTGAGAAGACCACAGGAGTGGAGGGGGCCAAAAGCAAAATGAATTAGCTACCAGCAAATGCAGGAACTTGGAAGTTCAAAACATGGGAGTGTGACGTTCACCGGGACTTAGGAACATGAACCTCAAGCACGGGTGCAATCGTGGTTTGGCAACGCTAAAAGTGAACTACAGCCGGAGCCCTTGCCGATTGTCACCCATATTCCTCCGAAAATGCAGCAGCTGGGAGATGAGCAAGAAGGGCGCCCACGCACCTGTTGCACAGAGCCTGAGACATTGGAAGATGACTCAGTGCTCCTTCGCTTCCGGCGCTCGCTGCGCTCCCCTCCGCTCCCAACGCCGGCGACGGTTCCACTGAAGCTGGTGTTCCCACAGCAAGTAATGCTCCCGCAGCCGCCGACGCTCCCGCAACCGCCGATGCTCGCACTGCCACTGCTGGCGAGCGTGGGTCCCAGGTCAGGCGCCGCGAGGGTCATGGCCGCCTCCTGACCACTTCTTTTACGCCGCTTCTCCCGGGAAGATTTCTTCCCCGTCATGATTCTTTTGCTATAACCATCAGGAGGAAGCCCACCCTCTCAAAAGCGATCCCTCCGGTGGCAGAGTGGCCGCAGCAGGGACTTGCGCCGCAGTTTTACGTCACTTCCGATCTCGTCGCAGACTTCGCGAGTCATTTCTGCAGGCAGTACCGGTCCTAACGCACCGCCTCCACAAGTCGCGGAGGTGGGTCTGTTTGCAGCAGGGTTGGTTAGGTGTGTAGTCAGTTTTTTGTTGTTCATTTTTTTCACCTGTACAAAGGCTGGAAGGTGGCCTTTACAACACCTCTTTGCTTACTGATACTGCTTTGTAATCTTTGACAGTATACAAATGCTCAGGTAAAGGTGTACGTTTGATTTTCCAACTTCATTTCTCTTCCAATTTTTGACGCAAATTAACACTATAACAGAGTTTAAGGAAAATATCATCACCCACACACAGTTTTACAAAATATATTTTAGGGAGTTGTACACGAATTGTGTTTCGTTGTTTTTCCTATTAACACTAATTTCTAAGCATGATTTCCTTTTCATTTCTAAAGGCACTTGGCGCTAGTATTTCATTCTTTTCTCAATTTAGTAATTTTCAAATTCTGGTGTTTAGGTCGTTGACCTGTCATATTTCAGAAAATGAAGGTATAAGCAGAATAAGAAAAAAATTTGAATTTCCTTATATCTTGTACCCTCCCAAAAGAAATTGATAGAAGTATATCAACATATTTTTCTTGTTCTATTTATTTGATTCCTAGAAAGTCTGAACAAAATTAAAATGACACCCATACACAGAAATCTTGTGATAGAGGTTTGTTGTAATATATGAAAATATAAACTTTTAACTTCAATTTTTGATTTGCAATCTTGAATGCTTCCCCACTGGCTAAAACACTGTTTTATTCATCATCAAATCATCTGGTATTAAGTTTAACAATTTACTGAAATGTGTTTCTATATAAATATACAGTAATTATGTTGGTGATATGAGGAAGGGAGCAGGGATAAAATAGTTGGCATCAGTCTTCCTATCATTTTTACCTTTTGAATGTTTTTTTTTGTATACAGCACTTTGTTAATGAAGATGGTAGACTTGTGTTGTTTGAAATGCTTTATGTGGCACACTTTTTGCTAGGATATTATATAAATATCTTATTTTGTTCTATTTTTTTTTTTTTTTGAAGTTCCAATGTACCTGATTAAACGGGGTTGAGTAAAGGAACTTGACTTAATTCATTAGCAAGTGGTGGAGATGTCATTGAAGGGTATGGTATGCCTTTTGACATCAAAGCCAGTACTCTTTAACTATATTATACTGCATCTCTGGTGGCTTTCAGTATTGAAATTTTAACTGATGTAAAAATTAGTAAACATTTCTTGAATTATTAGTTCCTTTGAGGACAAAAGAATGATTTAAAAAATGTGCTTTGGAAGATTGCTTAAAGCCACCGTCTGTTCTATGTATACAGCTTACATGTCTCTACTAGTAGTTCAAGTGACGTGACTACCACAAATTGTTATTTTTCTCCATACTGATTTCTAATTTTAGCAACATCATTTATCAGATATCATTCTCTTCTCCATTGTTTTGTTACCACTGATTTGTTACTTACCTGACCTATTTCAGTTTTTTCACCCGTAAAATTAATATTTACTGAGGAGGAAATAAGATGGCGGAGGAGTGAATGGAAGTCACACTGACCTCTTCCCAGGATCAATCTGGAATTACAACTAACTAGTAGAAAAATCACCTGGAACAAACAACTGAAGAATAGCGTGAGATGAGCCTTATAACCTCCGACAGACAGAAGAATCAGCTTCAGCACAATCTAGCTGGTAAGGAGTGCAGTAGACTCAAGAAGGCTGGTGGGGCGCCCATGGCGGCAGCACCAGGATATTGAAAGGACCAGTTGTAGCCCCCTGAGAAGATTGGGGTCTAAACCAAAAGTGGGAATCTCCAGCCTACAGCACCAGAGCCCAAAAAGTACAAAGATAACAGCCATCGGGGAAAAGCGGCAGGGTTGCTCTCTGCCAGAGACAGGCAGCTGGAGACACAAAGGGAGGTTTAAAGAGCCAACTCTTAAATTTTTATTTGCAGCCACTTACCCTGGTATCCGGAAAAGGTGGGGGCAGAGCAGGCTAGAGACGCCTGAGGAGAGACTAGGGGAGGAGAGATTAGGGAAGGAGGCTTTGGAGAACTGAGAGAGTAGCCGGCGGGATCTCAGTCTTGATTCATGCCCCATGCGGCAGCAGCCATCTTGCTCAGGCATAGACCACTCCACTGAGCAGCAGCAGCATCAGAGGACCCAATAACCCCACCCCCAGAAGGGATTCTGCCCTGCCCTTTATAAGCCGCCGGCTGAGTGCAGAGTGGCAGCAAGAGATAATAGATCCCTGGCTAAAGCAGGTGCAGAGAGGTCTGGAGACACTTGAGGAGACTGGGGAAGGAGGCTTTGGGGAGAGAACAGAGAGAGTAGCCAGTGGGATCCCACTGCTGAATGGCAGCAGCCTTCTGGCTCAGGCAGAGACCACTTCCCTGAGTGGCAGTAGCATGAGAGGACCCAAAACCTTGCCTCAGTAGGGACTCCACCCCGCCCTGAGCTGCCTAAGCTGACCTACAGAGTGCAGAGTGATTAGATTAAAAGCAGAAGGGGACAGCCACAGATAGTGGATTCCTGGAAGTCTCCAACAGACAATCTAAGGTCAGACAGGGTCAACATCTGACATCATCAGAGGCAGATCCAGAAAGTAAAAACAGTGGTCTCCCACCTTAGAGGTTCACACCACAAAGTCAGGAAATCAAGAGAGATCAATTTAAGAAGCAGAAGCAAAAAAGAAGAGTCTCACAGAAAAAGGGAAGACAAAGAAACACTCCCCACTCGAAGGGCAAGGAGGAATCCCCACAAAGAGAACTAAATGAAATAGAGGCAAGTAAACTAGCAGAGACTAAATTCAAAACAATGGTTCTAAGGCAGCTCAATGAGCTCAGAGAGAATTACCAAAAACTACAGGGAAACTACGAGGAACTCACTGTAAATTATATCAGCATGGAAAAGGATATAGAAACTGTAAACAAGAGGCAAGATGATATGAAGAATACAATTTCTGAATTGAAGAACACAGTAGAAGGAATCAAAAGCAGGCTAGATGAAGCTGAGGACTGAATCAGCAAGCTGGAGGACAAGGCAGAAAAAAACTCCCGGAAAGAGCAAGAACATGAAAAAAGACTGAAAAAGAATGAAGAAGCATTGAGGGAAATGCAGAACAACATGAAATGTAATAACATATGTATAATAAGGATATCAGAAGGAGAAGGGGAGTAAAGGATAGAGAACCTGTTTCAAATAGCAAGGATGGAAAACTTTCCTAATTGGAAGAGAGAAAAAGTCACACAAGTCCAGGAAGAACAGAGGGTCCCATTCAAGGGGAACCCAATGAGGCACACTCCAAGACACATCATTAAAATGGCAAATATCAAAGAGAAACAGGGAATCCTAAAGGCAGTAAGGGAGAAACAGGTAGTAACATAAAAGGGAGCCCCAATATGGCTAGCAGCTGACTTCTCAAAAGAAACACTGCAAGCCAGAAGGGAATGGGAAGAAATATTCCAAGTCTTGAAAAGCAAAACCCTGCAACCAAGACTGCTCTACCCAGCAAGGCTCTCAATTAAAATGGAAGGTGAAACAAGGAGTTTCCCAGACAAAAGACTAAAAGAATACATCTCCACGAAAACAGCACTTCAAAATATCCTAAAGGGGCTGCTTTAAGATGTAGAAAAAGTGTCTATGAATACCCATTCTTTTCACAATCGCCAATACTTGATATTACCAATATTTTTAATACATATTAATCTGATTGTGACAATGATGTTAATTATTCCTTTATTATTTGTTGAAACAAAACCTGTTTTTGTATATTTCTTGCTTATTTCAATTATTTTTAAAAAGCTTTAAATGACTGTTTGGTATTGTTTATCCATTTATCGATTAAAGGTTTGTAGAATTTTTTTCCCTAAAAAACAAACAACTATTAACCCCTTTTCAGATGTGTGGCAAATATTTTTCCATTCTATTACTTGTCCTTTCACACACACACACACACACACACACACACACACACACACACACATATATTACTATATAGTCTTAAATGTTTAATAAAATCTTATTTTCAATATTTTACTTTATAGCTTCCGGGTTTGAATATTTTACTTCAGGGTAACAAAAATATTAGTTTGTATTTTCTCCTAAAACTCCTTAGATTCTACATATTGAATTTTAACTCACCTGAATTTTCTTGTATAATGTGTGAAATAGGGCTCTATACTTGTTTCATTTCAAGTAATAGTGGTCCATGCACCTTATTTGTTGAATAAGCGTTAATTTCTCTATTCATTTGAAATATCAATTTAATCCTGTATTACATTGTTAGATATATATGTTTGTTTCTAGAATGCTCATTATATTTCATTGATCTACTCGATTATTTCTGTAATGTCATTTTAATTAGAGACTTTAGAATGGTTTTCAATTTTTTAATATTTTGTAATTGACTGACATTTAAAAAACTAAATAAAATCAATCTGTATTTAAAAAAGAAAGAATGAACTCCTACCTTTTGTGACAACATGGATGGAACTGGAGATTATGCTAAGTGAAATAAGCAAGTTGGTGAAAAGACAAATACCGTATGATCTTACCTATAAGTGGACTCTATTCAACAAAATAAACTAACAAACAAAATAAGCCACAGGCAAGGAAACATGGAGCAGACTGAAAGTGACCAGAGGGGATGGGGAAAAAGGACAATGGTGGAAATAAGGGGAAGGGACAAGAGAAAGAACATGCAGGATTGACCCATGGACATGGACAACAGAGTGGGAATTGACTGTGGGAGCTAGCGGGTGGCGGGGGGGAGTGCAACAGGGGAAAAACTGGGAAAAACTGAGACAACTCTAATAGAATAAACATGACTAAAAATTAAGAAAAGATTTACTAACTACTTATAGCATAGGGATAATGAGGATAAACTTAAGAGTATAAAGTAATAGTTTAATGCATGCAATCTATTTATTTAAACTTGTCTGTTCTTCACCATGATACTTAACTGATT